ACACACACACACACACACACACACACACACACACACACACACACACACACACACACACACACACACACTAAGGTGTGTCGTGTACCATGAATGTGGGGAGAAAAATCAAGTAGAGGAGGGTAAGCGGAGTGAAATTTTATCAGCTGGTTTGTGTGGACCTCTTTGTCAAAGTGATATTTGAGAGGGGGAATTAATCAAAGCACCTAAGCACAGAGAACAAGGAGTGCAAGGCCAGACAGAGGAAGGAAGATGCTGAAGCATCAGAGACCACCCAACACCGTGAGCTGAAAAGAACACTGCTGAGAGCTCCTGGGGCCAGGCTGGGTGACGACCTGGGTGACAGGAAGCCTTGGAAGGATCTCAGCAGAGGAGGGCAGTGCTGTCATCATAAAAGAATCGCTCTGAACCAGAGCAAAGACCAGCAGCTCTGCTGAGTCCTCCCTTGCAATAGGGAGGCTGCAACAGTGGAGTCAGGGGCACCAGCGTGTCCTACAGTGGTTAAGACCAAGGAAAACAACGTTTGGCCAGTCTGGGGCACTGGAGCCGGTGAACCATGGGAGGGATTGTGAAGGGCATTTCCTGAGGGACAGGAGGGAAAGCAGGGGAGAGGTCAAGCATAGCACCACCAGATCTGACCTGAACAGTTAGCACCCGGTATTGGCCTGGGGTGTCGCGCAGGGGCAGAGCCCTTACTAGTGTTGCGAGACCCTGATTCCACCCCCCCACTGCCCCTAAAAGATGAGGGTTATTACAGGTGGGCTAAGGTTTTGGGGTGGGGAGAGGTGGGAAGTTCAGATCTTCTTCAGCTCAACATATCGACTGGCTTTCCAGTGGAGATGTAGAGTTGGTAGCAGGTTGTAAAGCCTGGCGTTTAGGGAAAAGTGGGAAAATTAATGTAGGTTACTTTACATTAGTCTTGGGAAGGGAACGAATGCATAAATGGACAACACCGGAAGCAAGGATGGGGCCACAGAAAGCAGGATTTTGCAGGAGCAGGATGTGAGTGATCCATTGAGAAAGGCAGGGAAGGGACGATGCCGGAGGGAGGGACGCGGTCTGGGTGGGAAGAGGATTATTCAGGGTCTGAGTGCAGGTGCTGGTGGGCGGCAGCCGTTGGCGGGAGTCTGCGGTTATTTCTGGTTTCCTTTGACGGAGAGGAACAGGAAGCAGAGACATCGTCCGCATCCGAGGGTGGAGGCGGGGCGGTGGGGTGGGAGGCGTTAAAAGTCAAGACAGGAGGGTGGGGAATATTTAACTAGCAAAGCGAGACAGCGAGTGAAGTCGGTAAATGTGGCAGCGAGTTTTTGGTACATTTAAAATCGGAACAACGCTCGACGCGACTGTGTTCCCGGCAATTCCACTCAGACTCTGAAGCACCAGCACAGGGTGGGTGGGTGGCGGAGCTTAACTAGTCTGTGGTTTGGACAAAGGAGTCTGCCAAAGTAGGAGGAAGGCAAAGGAAAGGAAGATCCACGCACGGTGAAGTCGCTACTGTCCACGCGGTGTTTCTTTGTCGCGCTGGGCATTGAACCCTGAGCGCCTCACCCGACAATGGCCATCATCCCTCAGCGCACCGAGTTCAAGTGGACGTGTGCCTGAAGTCACCAAGAATTCGGGGACAGGAATGGAACTGGGAGGAGAGAGGGACTGAGCCGGGAGGAAGGAAGCGGTGCTGAAGGATGGCCGCTGTGTGAGGGCAGGGCGCGCACGGAGGTGGCTCGGGTCAGCTGCAGTGATTCTGGAAGTGGAGGGCTTTTCAGGGGCAGTCGAGCAAAAACGGGGTGGAAGCAGTAAGAAAGAACAATGGCCTCTGTATCAGCTCCAGGCCCGGAACCCGGAACCCAGGGCCGAACCCTTGTGCAGAAGACCAACTTCCTCCCTGGAAACTGCTGTCAGAGGTTGGCGTCCTCAGGCACAAGGCAGAGTTTGGTTAAAGAAAGTAGAGGGGACAGTATGAGGTAACGATATGGGGGATTTTTCCGGTAATGAAGCAGGAGTTAAGAGTAAACGGGAAGATTTTCAGGGTAGGAAGGAACAGGAGGTGAGGAGCAAGCCAAAGTAGAGTTCGCAAAGTGAGCTCTCAGGACACTGGCGGCCCTGGGAAGGACGGTGTTATGTGCACGTTTACCTGTTTACCTAGGTGCTGAGTTACGTCAATTGTAAGTTGAATTATGTTACTATTTTATCTTGTTTGGGTTTAATACAAAAAATCTGTAACATTATGTTTTCCTCAAACAAACAAGCAAAAAATCCTAGATCTTTGTGTTTACTTCCTTTTGTTTGGGTTTGAACCAGATGCATTTTTCCTTTGACGTGGCGATCTCACCACTGGGAATCTGTCATACTGATAGAGCCACATATACATGAAAAAAACATAAGCACAAAGTTGTTTCTTGTGATGGTGTTTGTAACTAGCCGAAGATCAGAAACAATTCTGCTCAGCAGCAGTGAGGGCTTTGTTGACTAAGTGGGGTATGCTCACAAAAAGAATACTTTGCCCCTGGAAAAAGCAGTACACACTCTACAAAATGGTACTCAAAAATACTCAGTATATAACATTAAATGAAAAAAAAAAAAAGCAATCCATAAAATCTTGCTGTGGATACAGAAAGTTGATAGTGGATATGGAAAATTACAAGAGAACAAGAAATACGTAATTGTATATACGTATATGTTCATATTTGCACAAATTTACATTCTATTATTTATATTATTATATTTGCATAAAGAAGAATGTATTAGCCAAAGATGCACACAGGGATTGGAAGGAGGGATGGAAAGGGACTCATGGAGACAGTCCACTCCCTTGGAGATGACCGAACCTATGGCTGGCTTTGCCCTTTCCCACCTGACGATAGCTATGGCACAGCTGACCCCTAAAAATATGTCCACCCTGTTTTTCTAGTCCCTCTGGCCAATACCCATCGTCCTAGTGCTCCTAATGAACCAGCCTCAAAGATGCCTCGTGTTTCCACATTACATCTTGCTTTTTAAACTTGGCCTTGCCTTTATAAAAGCGCTTCTACCTCTGGGTAGAGCCTGATCTCAATCTCCCCTCCCTTTCTGATTCTTCTTAGGGCTTACAAGCTTGCTTAGGAGCTGTAGTATCTGGTTCTAGATTGGCCTTATTTTCCACTATATCGGATCGAAGCCTTTGGTTCGACGTTGTAGGTTCCATGTAGCTGCCTCAGCCTCAGCCCTTGTGCGGGTGGGGCGCACAGAGACCTAAGCGAGTACTGTGTTGGTTTTCAGTAAACTGGGGATACCACTAGAGGTCAAGGTGCAGTAACAGAATTAGGTGGCTGCAGGGAAGTTTAACCTTGACCTGCCAAGGTTTGGTCACTGCGCCAACAAGAGAAAAGACATACAGATGTACAAATATTTATATGTGAAAATCGTATTTTTTGTTTTGACCACACTGGACATTCTGGACAGTACTCTTATTATCTGAAAGGACAGTCACCGCATACGGGCAAGAAAAGGTACAATTAAAGAGACGACTGCGTGGGGCAGGGAAAGCAAAACCCCAGAAGAGCCGCTTTGGAGTTCAAACTGAGAGTACCGTGAGAAGCCAGTGTGGGAAGGGCTTTCCCCAAGCTGCCTTCTCTCGTGCAAGACCAGATCCACCCAGGAGCAGCACAACCCTTCTGTCTTCTAGTGTGTTCCTGTCGCAGAGGAAGATGGAACCCAAGCACCACAGCCGGAGGCCCCAGAACCTCATTTCAGGCTACTGTTTATTCTCCAGCCTCCTCACCTTCCCAAAGAATCACTTCTCCTCCTCTACCCCTGCCTACAGCACCCCACCTGCACCCCGACAGGACTGTGCAAGTCCCACCTGGCTTCTCTTCCAGGTCCGTGTTTTACAAGACTCTTGTGTACCTGCACGTATGAATACATCTGTGTGTCTCTTCTCTTGCTGGCAGTTTCAATCAGAAACTCTGACTCCCCTAAAACGGCCCAGTGCTGTGAATGCTTTTTGCCCTCTAGGATATTTTCAGGATTATAGAAAACTAAAATAATGGGCTGACTTCCCACCAAGGATACTTTTTGATGATTTGTTTCCCCCAAAGTTCCAACTATTTCTTAAGCATTTATATTATTAACATAAGATCCTAGGCACTGGGGGGCTGTGTGACTCAGGGAGAAAGTGTATTTTTAGGAGGATTTTGTAACTGAGAGAGCAGTAGACTTAGAATCATGGTGCCTAGTTCTCATCCTGGCCTGGCTGCTGTGGGCTTTTGCTAAGTTACATCGTTTTTCTGAGGTTTAGCTTCCTCGTTTTTAGGATGAGAGAAGTTTAATTAGTTTATTTTTAAAGTTCCTTCCAGCTCTGAAATTTGGAGACTTTATATAAGAACATGAAGCAAGAGAACAATTCATGTGAAAGGAGATACATTCTGGTTATATCTGACATCTGTGTGGCAAGAGCTTACCTTGTCAATATTCAGAGGAAGTACGTATCTCCTCACTTCGGGTTGAGGAGCTTTGCTGGCATTTTTTTTCACCTCTTCCCAGTTCTCACGTAAATTGGCTAAATATAAGTAATTATAAACAAATTCAAATCTGCAGAAACAGGAAACCAAGCACAAACACAATTACACATAATTTTAGGGAGATGATTCATGACTTTCAAAATCATGTGTTCTTTATTGCACAGTCCAGACTGGCTAAAACACAGGTGTATTACAATTATTTCCTATAGCTCATGATGGACAAAAAATAAAAAATACACCCAGCCTCGTGGGTGTATTTAAACAACAGCAGCTGTAGATACTTTCTGTGCTGCATTTCCGTCACCACCACCATGTTTGTGTCTAGAAGAGCTATTTTTTTCTTTTTTTTTTCTTTTTTAGTGAGTTGGCTAGTCCGGAAAACACATCCTTCGTTCTCCCAGTCCCAGAGTGAGCAGTGTTCTTGACCCCCCTAGAGATCTCACAGGGTGAAGTCAAGTTTAAGTTCACTTCTCAGGCACAGAATCCTTCACTTTCAAGTCTGGTTCATGGACCCAGTTGGTTTGCCATCATTCGCCTTAGTTTGGATGCTCAGTTTGTGCTTCTGATTACCTATACTCTCTACTGCTTTTCCGATTACATGTTTTGATTCTTGCTTTATTAGATGCAAGTCAGTTAAATATTGAGGGCGGCATCTCCACAGACGCCTCCTAATTTCCTGAGGCACCTGGAGACAGGACACTTGTCCTACTGCTCATTCTTACCCTTTCCAGCAGCAGAGGTCCACAATCAGGAATTCTCGGTCTTCGTAGGTGTTGATATGATGGAAGAGGTTGAAAGGAGAGGCCCTGTATTTATTATTGAGGTACTTTCTCCTTTTTTTGTCAGCGACATGAAGCCAAACCTTGAAAAGTAAAATATTTCGATGCATTTGGAAGGGGGGAAATTGTACATGTATGAAACACTCCCTCAAAGTCGCAAACTTGACAGACCTGCCCGACTCACCCCCATGGTTTCATTGGACTCGAAGCAGTCCATGTAGCTGGCCCCCCACAGACTCCATGAGGACAGGAACTTGAACAGGTTGATTTTGACCGGTGTCTCCACAAAAACGATGTAGTTGGGAGTCAGACCAAAGCTGTTCAGAAACACAAATGGGCTTGTGAATGGAAGGAGGTGATTCTCAAACTACAAAGAAATATGAATACATAAAAGTATATGAAATCAGCAGTGCCTACATGAAATGAATTATGCTTAAATTTAGATTTCTACAAGAAAACGTCATGATCAGGAGTGGTATCAAAGGGAGGCAAAGCAGATCTTTATCCCCCGGTTTTGCGGGTAATTCACAGCAGGCCTTCTAGTTACCTATGCACATAAGACGGCTTGAACCGGTCACTGCAGGGGAACTGTACAACAATCTCTGCTTTGCCTATTGGGTCTTCCTTGTCTGAAATAAAGTGGTTTTAAAAGGCTCTAAAGATCCTCTCACTTTTTAAATACAAGCAAAGAATTACATTTTCAGACATTTACATTTTCATTTTCTTGGCCACTGGCCAAGCCTAGTGAAACTTCATGCAAAGCTGTAGTCACCTAGGAAAATCCAAACAGTGGCAGATTTTGCAAAGTGCACTCCAGCAAGAGGGCTGCATCTTGCAACAGACGGAGAGGGGTTTTAAGTCAGAAGAGTAAGGCAAGACTCTAGTAGGTCACCGCCTTTGTACAGACTCCTAAGATGCTCCAGAGCACGGGAGAGGTGGGTTTATGCCAACTGCCATCTATAATAATTCTTAGGCACATCAAAGTTCATTCACTACTAACTCAGTGGTGTGCATCGAAAAGTCACATGAATAACTTTCTAAAATACTGATTGTGGCACCCGCTCTCAGAAGATCTCATTCTGTCAGCTTGAGATGGGCCAAGGTTTCTCTTTAACAGGCTCCCTAGTAATGCTGCTCATGCAAGCTCTAAGACTCAAGAACTACAGTTGAACATTCATGGAACAAAAATCCATATGAAATCAAATAATCCCATCATCACAATGGTTGTCAGGGACCTAGCAACGAATGTAAGATGAATGGAGAATTCTTGCACACTGCCCATTCTGTTTTAATATATTTTCTTCTAGACTTGTTTATAGACTTGTTTATTATCTTGGGAATTAAAGTAGCACACTTTCGTATATACATATGTTTGCCATTACACATGTTTATTTAATTTTGCTTGGAACATGAATAAGTGCTCAATAAAAATTTGTTGGATTCAAATCTAAGTTGTAGATGAATAAATCCACGTTACACTGGATCATGAAACATGTAGAATTGAGCTTGCCTACTTCCTTTCTGTATTTTCAAATGGTGCTCGCAGGTTGTGGTGCCCTGGGCACTAGTCCTCCAGCAGGCAGGAGACCTCTGTGACAGTCAAAGGGTAATTTAACTACCTCTGTAATACTTTTATCTGGCATCTGTATTTCCAGTAAACTTTTCCATCATTTGGATGCTTCATACATGTATTCAGCAGAGGAAAGATGAGTACACTCACCTGCTCGCAGTGGAGGGATCTTGATAACGTTATAGGCAATGGAAAAATTTTTCCCAAAGCAGTTGCCAATGTTGTAAACGGTCCCATCACTTTCTATGTGGGGGTGAGCGGTGGCTCCATTGACTGAGACATAGTCGCAAAGATCCACCTGCAGAGGGACAGAGAAGGTCATCGGTGTTAAGAGGAAGAAGGCTACACTTGTCCTGGGTCTGCCCGCCCCTACCCCTGTGCTTTCACATATGTGTGCGCTGTCTTTCTTTCCGTCTCCCTGGATGCTGCCCCCTTTCAGGTTTGCCCGAAGCCCATCTTCCACGCAGAGCTCTCTCTGAGCCCCACAATGACTCCACAGGTGTCCGGAGTCTGGAATCTGCGACTGAGCTCTTCATTTGCTGAGTACTGTATGCACCTCTGGTCAGCTTCTTTCTCATGTACAAGCTGATCTCAAAGGATTATAAATTTGAGCCATGGGATTTCTTTTTATTGTACCATTTTGAATTACATGAAATTGTTGGCGTGCAGTCTTTTTAGATGTACAAAGATGACAATTTGGCATGGGGCAACCTAGATAGCAAGCCCAGGGTCTTGCTTATGGTAGTGTTCAGTTAGAACTAAAAGGCAACTCAGTATTCCTTTTATTGCCCTCCACTGGGAGATCTGGAAATGCTCGAGGTACTTTGGGTTTGTGCAATGATTGGGGATCTGACTGGCATTTAGTGGGTGGGATCGGGGACCTCAGAACTCTGCAGTTTGTGCAGCAGCCTCTACAATATGTCTCAGGCCTCCAACGGGAAGTACTGCATTATCTTGGTTTCCATGGACACAGCCTTTATTTCCCTCCTCTGCCCTGGTCACATTACCCATTCCATTTGGATGTGTTTTCACTAAATTCCCTAAAGTTGTACTTCCTTCTTTTTTTTTTTTTCTGCACCAAGGGATTGAACTCAGGACCTTGTGCTTACAAGGCAGGTGTGGTACCACTGAGCTAAGTCCCCAGCCCTGTATTTTCCTTTAAATTCCAGCTCAAATGCAGGACCTTTGAAAAGTCCCCGATCTACCCAACTCTTATTCCCAACTACTGTTAGATGTTATTTCTTCCTTGTATCTTCTCAGAAGGTTTTCCTTCTATCAAAAGACTCATCAAATTCCTTATCCTGTTATAGTTAACCTGTGTACCTGTTTGATTTCCCTTTTTCCCTGTATACCTGTGCTATGCATGTATTAAGTTTCCTAGAGGTAAGAACAATGCCTTGCAAGTAGGTGTCAATAAATACTGGTTGAAATTGTGGGCCTATTTTAAATCACACTGCACTAAAATCCCCCAATATCTCACTCAAATCTGTCACTTACTAATGTAGTTGACATTTTGTTCTATGGTATTTCATTTAAGATGTAGCTTTATATCTAATGAGAAATGTCCACAAGAAGGATAAGTTGTTGCAATATATTTGCCTAGAATCATGAACAGCAGGGTTTTCAACATCAATAGCTAGAATTTAAAAAATACTCTATATGTAACAAGTCCATAATAGGCTGTAAAAGTGCTGAAGGTTAGTGACCATGTTCTCTTAGTCATTGATGAATTCCTAACCTCTGGCAGAAGTTCTGGTGCATGGAAAGCACTCAGTATGCGGGTGAGTGAGTGAAGGAATGAACAAATGAACGCATTGGTCATTGTACAATGTTTCCCTGAAATCCACATAAGTGTTTAAATTTTCATACATGAAGAATTGAAGCCACTCCTCTGTTGCATAGTTAGCAGTTGTGCTGACAACACAAACATGGGAAACTTACTCTGGTTCTCCTGTTCTTTTCATCAGATTGCACAACTGATTCAATTCTAAGTTCCAAATTCAAAACCCTGAGCAACGTCACCTGAGCACAGTCTCCTACCCGCTTGATGGTCTCCAAGGTCTCCGGGTGAACCCTGGTAAGGAAGTTGGTCTCCGTGCAGGCATAGTAATCTTCCCCCACTGGGTAGATATTCACAAGGGCATTGTCAGTAACCTCCACTCCTCGAAAGTACGAAAAGAACCTACAGAAGCAAACACAGTTTTCTGTTCAGAAACTTTCAAGCCACCTGGAAAAAAAGGGATAATGTAAAATGTCTTTATTAAGTTTTGTTTCAGTGACCTGGAAAATATATTCTTGCAGGGGTCTGGGTAAGCACAGGTACCGAATTCGGTCACGACAATCCTTTTCTCAGTCATGGCTCGGATGTAAGCATCAGTGCGGAGGAACCTGAGGGGCAGGAGACGTGGGAAAAACTTTCACCAGCTGCAGCCACCACTGCCATCCAGGGGGTGCACACTGTGGTCATTTAACCAGCACTTGGAGAGAGAAGCGTGGCCGAGGGGGGAAGAGGCAACATGCCGAGCTTAGATTTAGTCTTCTAAGTCTGGCCGTGACAGGAGATCAAGGTGTAGGGAGGGGCAAGCTGGGTTAGAACCCACATTGGCCAGGTTGGACAGAGTGAACTTTCCGTGTCACACCCTGCAGCCCGACCAGAAGTTCGCAAAGGAGGCCTCTAGCTCCCTGGACCTGGCCTGGCAGCCTGTGCGGTGGGGAAACGTAGGATGTGGTGTGCCTAATCATATTCCTTTTAATATCTTCCCATTCTTTGCCCTATTTTTTGTTTTTGTTTTGGTACCGGGAATTGAACTCTGGTCCTTGAGCTTGCGAGGCAGGTGGCGGCACCCCTGAGATACAACCTGAGCCCCATCATCTCCCCATTCTTATGTTTTCCTTCCGACTTAGCGTTTACTTTGCTAGGCTTTTAAATCTAGTTGTTCTTGACCTCAGTCTCTTGGGCTAGCAGATCCCAGACTTGCTGGAGAGTATGCCTAGGATTTCTCATGTGAAGAGATAATTAAAATTGGAGCTGCACTTTTATAAAGAGGAATGAGAACTTCAGAAGGCGCACGAAAGCTTTAGCTGAACTCCAACATTTGCTCCCATAGCTAAATTTTTGTTTGCCATGATCTGTTTTTCTTTTCTCAGTCCAAATTATCCTATGTCAAGTCTGCATTTATTCTTCCTTTTGATCTCTCTTCAAAAATCTCTGAAATTTCTAGTGATCCACAGAGCCACGAACAGGTCTGAATATTGAAACAGAAGACAAAGTGTGCATTGTGGAATTCCAGGGGCTTCTTGGGGCGATGGTTTAGACTTCAAGCCTCTTAGTGATAACCTTTTACTTGAGGAGAGCTTCTTTTTTTCTGCTACCTTTATAACATACGTGGTCGCTTCCCTGCTTTGTGGCACCCCTCTTTCTTTCCTGTTCCTTTCTGATTATAAAATGGGAAAAGAATCTAGAGCGCTGGTGGTCTCATAATAACAACACCATAACAACTTCTGTCACTACTCAGCGCTTCCCGTGTCCTGGACACTGGACCCTTGTTTAATCCCGGTAATGAACACATCCCATAGGTTCTCTTATTTCTCCCACTTTGCGGTGCCAGTCCCCAGGAGAGAGGACAGCATCTTGCCAGAGGTCACCGAGTGAGGCAAGTGTGTCTGGGGGACAGACATGAAGCCAGGAATGCTGGACCCCAGGGTCCTGGTCCTTAGCTTCTTCATGAACTCACGGGGCTCTCAGTGTCTCTGCAGACACATCAGCCCCAGCAGACTGTGAGAAGGAAGTGGGTTTAGGGATCTCATCCAGGGCTCAGGAGCTAAAAGGCACAAGGGAGGGGAGCTGGGCTGGGCCCCGTTCTGGGGGGTGGGACGGGTGCCCCTTACCGTCTGTAGTAGGTGACGTGGCCTTCTTTGAAGTCAAACTTGTGCAGAAGAGCCTGCCCATCAAACAGGTGGTAGAAAGGCTCAGATCCTACTTCGAATAGTCCTGGTCCACATCGGAGGAGGCTGCCACTGAGCCAGAGGGGGATCCTGCCTGAGAGGAGGTGACACACGGACACAGTTTCATACCCCTGCCCTGGGCTGGCCTCCTTCCTGTAAACTTAAGCCTGCAGCGACTTCCATTCCCAGCTCTCACGCCCCACAGCGTCCAGCACTAGGAGACCGGTGTGGGGAAGTGCAGCAGCGCTCTAGGGCCGGGATAATGGGCTGGAAGGGGCGAGGACAAAGCACTTGTGCTGAGTGTGAGTCTCCACCTAAGTGCCTTCCTCACATGTCAATCCATATGCCCTCTTGCCAACTCAGTCTTAAAATTTTTGATGTACTTTGGTGGGTTGAAGGACAGAGGGGTGGATTAGAAGACGAGATCAAGGCATTCTTAAAAGATGTGTCCACAGAGAAACCATTTTAAATTGAAAAACAAAACAACAACAACAAAAAAAACCAGGAACATCACCTTTTAAAAATCCAGAGCTTCGCCCTCAGGTGTGAATCAGCCTGCAGATGACAGCCAGCCTGCTGCAGGAGCAGGGTACGGGCAGGGATGGGTTCAGGCGCCATGTGTTAGCTGGGCCTTGTTTCCTCCTTTACAGGAAGAGGGGTAACTGGGGTGGTCTGCAAGGACTCAGTGTTTAAAGTGAGGTTTGCTCAACCCCTATTGGGTATTTTTGATTTTTTTTTTGTACTGGGAATCCACCTCGGGTCCTTGTGCTTTTGAGGCAGGCAGAGGAAACACTGAGCTACATCCCCCAGCCCCTACTAGGTATTTTTATTTTAAACAAAGTGGATTACTTTCTGTGGTCAATTTCAGCAGCTGCTGGATATGGGATAAAATCTTGAAGGCATGGCTTGATGAAAAGCCCAATGTTTTGAGTTGTGATCAATAACACCTAGATGTCTAGCATCAGAATCTAGTAGCTGAGAATAGTTGAGGAAGAGCATTCCCTTCTTCCCTTCTATTTTAGGAAACAGGAGGGCAGGAGGACAGAGACCTGCCCAGGTGTTGACTCTTCTCATAGCCCCACGCTGGGCCAAGTGTGGCCAGTGATGGCGCCTGTACCGGGGGCAGTGCTGACAGAAACTGCCGTGTACCGATCCATCACTCTGTGTCCAGTACTGGGTGAGTCGTTCCATTCACACTACCTCATTTAATCTCCACAACATCCTCATGCAGTAAATTATTTGGGGGGAAGGGTACGCTATTGAGGTTCAGAAAGTTTAAGAAATTTATAGAATCCATGGATGGGGTAATAAAAGAATGGGGACTATGCCCACATCTACCTGTGTCCAGAACCAGCCCTTTACCAGTTTAATGAGCATGAAAAGCACCACTCTTTAATGTAATACCCCGGAAGCTGTCACCAGGCCCTCCTTATGCAGACCTTGGGGAAGGACATTTCTGACATCGACTGTGTTGGGCTCTGAGCGGGGTACTGTGGGTTTGGAGATGACAAAGATGTAATCCTGTGGTAAGGAGTCCCAGGTAGGCGGTGTTTACCCGCACTGCAGAAGGGAAGTAAAGTAAATGAGAAGAAATGGGTTTCTGGGAGGAAAATCTGGAGCCTCCAGATTCTGCTCTCTGTAGCCCGGAGCTGTACTGAGAGGCCGATGAGTAGAGAGAGACCGCGGCCCTGGCACAAAGGAGGACAGCACGAGACCCACCTGTCACGTGGGCCGTGAGTGGCGAGGACAGTTCCTCCACGGTTTCGAACAGTTTCCTGTATCCACTAGCGGGGTGCTCAACTCTGAAATGGGGTGACGAGGAAGAAGCCATGGTGATGCTCGGAGATGGGAAGAGGACCAGGAGCTGCGCTCCAGAGAGAAGGTGCTGCTGGCTGAGCCAAAGCACCACTGCCTGTCTGACCTCCGCCAGAAAGCACGCGGGGTGGGGCAGAGATGTGCCCAGCACAGGGGGGCCGGCTCTGTCCATCTGTCCTTCCGTATCACAGGCATTGGACTTTCTCCTACCATCTGCGGTCACAGCAGACTTAGTCCTACCCTCTTTGATTTCTGGGGACAGATCAGGCAATCTTGCCCTATCCCTTCTGTTCCTAAACTCCGACCCCACACAAGGTGCTCTCCAAGGAGTCTCCTGCCTGACGGACACTCATTGCCTTTCTTGTCTCGTGCAGAGAGCCATACAGATTGGGAGACCGTAGCACTCAGGGTCAGGTATGTCTGTTTGTTGGCAGCCATACCCTTCCCTCTTGTCTTCCATCGTCCCATTCTCTGCTCATCCCCAAGAGCCATGCGCTTCTGAAAAAACAGATCAGGAGCTTCAGGTTCTACATATGTGCCCCCTCCCCCTCCCCCAAAACAGAGGAAAAGAGAAAATATACTCATAGGAGATATCTCCAGATGCTCTCCGAAAGTCTCAGGTGTTCAGAAGTAGTACTTTTGGAAGTTTATTAAATAATGATGGCCCTATTCAGATTAATTCACTGAGCCTATGCAGTAGCTGTCTCTGCTGTTAGCAAGTAGGGTCTGTTGGACCTGCATCACTGGGAATGTGACTTGAAGGAAATATTCTTGTCCCTGGCTTTCTCTTTCTCCCTCTCCCTCTCGCTCTCCCTCTCCCTCTCCTTCCTTCCTTTCCCCTCTCTCTCTCCATTTCTTTATCTCTGTTTCTTTATTTATTTGGAGACAGGTCTGCCTACATGGTTCAGGATGGCCTTGAACTCACTGTGTAGTCCAGGCCGGCCTTGGATTTGTGGCAATCCTCCTGCCTCAGTCTCCAAAGTGCTGCAATTACAGGTGTGCACCACCATAGCCCGTGCTGTTTTGCTTACTTCTTCCACTTTATTACTTCTTAGAGTGGGAGCTCGGATCACACTTCCCAATTATAATAATCTTTCATTAAGCACTTCTGCACCACACACCAGGAAACGAACCTTGCGTGGCCTTAGCTAATTTAAATCTCTTAACAATGCATTGGGGCCAGTACTATTATAGCCCCACTGTATACATGGAAAATTCTTTACAAAGTGGTTTTCCCAGCATCGCACAGCTAGGAAGTGACCAGGAGAGAAGTGGAGCCGGGATGGCCTGATGGCTCAGTGCTCACGATGCTCCCGGGTCCCTCCTGAGGACCTGCCCACAGCCTGCCACACAGCCCTGCCCCTCAGTTAGACCTGTTCTATTCACTGACTTCAATATGCAGAGAAATTCCTCCATCCAGACCCCAGGGCTTCCCTAAACCCCGAGGATCAGGCCTTCTGTGCCTCTGTCTAATGCTGGCTGAGGGCCTCTGAACCTCCCTGGCACTTACTGGACAGACATTCTTCAGCAGAGGAGGAGAGTTCTGGCGACAGCTCCGGGTGGTGCAGGAGGAGGTCTTCAGCAGGCTTTTGTAGCCCTCTAGGTCCACTCTCCTCCAGGAGCAGGGCTGGGGAGGAGAACAGAGGGGCTTTGAGTTCAGGCCTCCCCCACCCCCATGCGGGAGCATTAGCTGGTCTTGTGTTTCCACAGCCCTCTGGCTGCTTTCCAGAGACCTGGATCCTTCTTGCAGAGAGCGCATGATGAGGGTGGCGGAGCCGTCACCCAGGAACCGGGACGTTCCTGCACCCTGTCACCCATCCACCTGTTCTCTTGCAATCTGTGACACATCACCTGGACCGGGTACGTCCTGGTCTCCACAAGTCCTGTGACTGCCGGGGAGACAGGAGACTGACCAGTGCTCCCTCCTTACAGCTCCTGAGCACTGCTCTGGACGCTATGCTCTTCCTAGTGCGGCCTCCTCAGTCCCTGGAAAAGTGGCATTAGTTACAGACCAGGCCAGTTGTGACTTCTACATTTTTGGTTTTTTTAAAGAAACCAAATGGTTTTAAGTCCAATAGGTAGTTAGGATCACTTATTCTAGAGCTGTTCTTCAATAAAACTGTGCAGCAGAGGGTCTGAGCGCTCCCCAGGCAGTGGCAGGATCTTCTCTCCTAGCTGGCCGGTTGAGGGCTCCTGCCTGAGCCTGTGATAAAATGTTTGCATTTAAACACTTACCTTGTACTTGTTCCCACCGCTTGTGTGGGGCGCCAGCCCCAGGCCTGCTGTGTGGCTGGCCTCACCCTCCCAGCTGGGTCTGACCTAGGTCTGAGCTGGCCGATTACAGGATTTGAGGGGCACAGGGCCACTGTCAGCTTCTCAGAGCTGTGTCTTCAGCTCCCCGACACATGGTCAGAGGCCTTCGTCCTTTAAGGAAGGTCTGACCCTGTCCCTTCCTTGCTGAGACCCCTTCACAGGTTTGTGTACCTCATGGTGGAGTCCAAGGGCCGGAGCACAGCTGTCAGACCTCCCCACCCCGACCCAGCCTGCCGCTCGGGCTGAGGAGGCCGCTGTCTAGAGTGCCCCAGCTGCACCAAGCCATTCATTGATGTCCAGGGATGCCTGCTGCTTTGGCCTCCCTTTCTTCACCCCGAGCTGGGACAACCTCTCATCCCGTGTGCATCTGCCACGTGTCCTGCTTCTGTTACACCCTGATAAAAGTCTGTCTTCCCATGATGCCTTAGGAATGACGCCATTTTGCTTTTTCTGAAACTCACGTATATTTTGTGTGAATAATATGTTATTGCATGTCTGTCTTCCACTTTATAGTGAGAAGAGCTTCTTGCTTGTTGTACAGAAACCCCAGCACAATGTTATTTGGTAAACTCTCCAATACCTGTCAGGATGGAAACGGCTCTCACTCCAGCTGTTCCTTCAGGGAAACCCTAGCAGGCTAGCAAAAGCCCCCTGCTCACTTGGTGAAACTCACATACAGGGCAGGTGTAAGGCAACTTTCTCTGCCCCTTCTCTCTCACCACCACCAGAATGTGATCTCTCTTAGCATCATTCAGAAATATCATGGGGAAGAGGCTATAGGCAGCCCTGATCATGGATGCTCGCTCCGTCTTCTCCTCTAGTAGACACTGGGTAGCCTCTTCCTGGAGGGTCCCAGCCTTCATTCACAGAATTCCTGTCGGCTTCCACATAGCTCAGTGAGTTTATCTGTGGTCTCTGCTGCAATGTTTTGACATCTATTATCTTTTAAAAAGGGGGAATCTGACAGTAGACTTACTCCAACACGTTGGCGACGTCATGATTAGGCCATGGGCACAAGAACTTAAAACTTGTTTATTGAATAGAGAGTAGCGGGTGAGTTGCCTTAATTCACTAAGCAAGCAAGAATAATAATTAAGTTAAAATTTCTTTTATCAATGACTAAGGATTTGGCTTAATTTTTCTAAAGAATTTGAAATATTTTACTTAAAATCTAGATTATGCTCTGATTTTGTTTAATCCACCTCAATTTACAGCCCTGAAAAAGCATGAAAGAGGATTATGGGTCAGCTCTATTGGATTAGTGGTGGCTCAACTACTAAAGGTCCACAGTGTTTCTGTGAATTCTCAGGCCCAGCCAATGGTGCCCAAGGTAAGAAGAGTGGGTGGCTGGTGTCCTCCAGAACGGAAAGTCTTTGGGCAAAATAGCTGGCTCATTAGAAACCAGAATGCCGAATGTGGATTTAAGCCACCTAACCTCTCTCTGCAGGTATCAGACAAAGAGCTACTCTGATAGCATTAGGTGCCGGGGAGCTGCTGATCCCACTGTTGGCATTATTAGATTGCTTAGTGGGTAAGAGGCTCAGACAATGAAAGAATCAGTTTCCTAACAGAACAGAGTTGTCAATACATTGGATAAATGACCACACTTACCTTGTTCTGTCCACTAGAAAGCATCTATGGTCTGTTTTCATGTTTCTTCCAGAAGTCTTTCAGGTTTTGCTAGCTTCTTTGAGCCCCACAGCCTGGAAACCTTTCATGGTTTTGTGATGGGTCAATTGGATGACTTCCATGGTTAGTGACCAGTGTTCTTTCTCGGCTTCTGTGTAGTGTTGGAGCCCTATTGCTTCATTTTGCTTTAAGCAAGAGGGTAAATATGGTGTTCTTCACTCAGTCATTGTTGGAAGCTGAAGTTCACCAGTTGATAAGAATTTGTTTTAAACAATTTTACAGATATGTCTGAGCTTCATATAAAATAGTTTGGGAAGGGTGGGTATCTTCAATCTTTGACTGTGGGAAAATAAGGTTAGAGTTTCATGACTTGAAGTTGGTGGGAATGACAGTGGGAGCAGAAGTTTGATGATGTAGGAGGCAGGAAACCTGATGACTGTTTGACTTATAAGCTACAAATAATGTCTATAAAATGAAGCCTCTCCAGCAAGCTTCATCCTAGTGGAGAGGCAGGCAACAGAATCAATCACATAAACAAAAAACAAAACAGAAAACATTTGGTAAATACTACACCACAACTTTATGGTTTCCTTGCTATGGCACTTGACACATTCTCAGGTATAATTGAAAAATATGGTCAATATTTTGTTTTAAAAGTTCAGTACAATGAAAGACCAATTGCTGTTAATCTCCCTCAGAAATCCTCCCCCTTACTTCAACACACTCAACCCAGCATTCTTGTCAAGTTTTTGCAGCAGCTCTAGAGTCCTCTCTTCTCAGCGTCTTTAGTTGTGCTGTCCTGACTGCCTCAATGTCCTGATTTGATTCAAAATGTTTCCTTTTTGTGGTCATTTTGACTTTGGGAAAGAGCTAGAAGTCACACAGTGAAGAATAATTTGGGTGAAGGACATGGTGTTATGTTTTCATGAACCTGCCTTTCTCTTGCATAGCACTCAGCAGCAGCATTCACTAAAGTTTTTATCAGACCTCGTAGACCTTCATGAAAGAGGACTCCAGACCTGCTACGGAAAGTGGCAATAATGGTGGGGTAAGTGAAGTAAAGGGGAATATTTTGAAGGGGATCATTGGCAATATGTCTTTCACCTTATATACATTCATCTTCTATTTTGATCACACCATGCAAAATTGATGATTGCTTCAGCTCTTTCTTTAACCTGTCTGTGAACTTTTCTAGGACCAGGACTAGGGTGCATTATTTGGTCTTTCATTCCCATTGTCTAACATAATACAAAATATGTAGTAGATATTGGTGTAAAAATAAATGAATGGGTGAATGAAAGCTGTGCATTTCTGCAGCAGGATGAACTGTCAAGAGATTATATCAGTTAAGTAATCTTATCTTGTTTGCTTAGAGATCCTTGCCCTGACACCTATCAGTCAACATGGCTGAAACATTTTCTCTGAGGCCCAGTTGAGGGTGGTGGGTGGGATAAGTGATCAGCATATGTTTCACAAAAATGTAATACTCATCTTCTAGTGAGTTTTTCACATTTGTGCTTAAATAAGCAAATGATAGTGTTTGGTAAATTCAAAGAGAAAAACTAATTGTGGATCCATGTGAGCATAATGCAGCTCTTGCCAGCGTGGTAAGGGAAGATCTGACAAGATAAGGAAAAGAGGGCCGCAGCCCACTGTGTACCAAGCCCATGGCGATAGAGTCCTTATATTCATCTCTGGAATCTAGGGCAATCCTACAAATGAATGAATAATACAGGAACGAACAATCACCTGCTATATCTGTAGCAAGGTAGATTCACTGTCAGTAAAATGACCCTGGGAGCATAGCTCGAAAGAAGAAGAGTTAAACTCATTTCCACAATCAGATCTATATTCTTTGGACCTGGGCCTCTGAAGAGAATGGACAAGTGAGCTGTTTTGTAAAATATCTCCTAGCTCAGGCCAAGCTGTGGAGGCTATGATTCAACACCCTGAATTAAAATCAAGTTTGCAAAGGGGTGAGCTTGGGAGCCTCTGCAAGCAGAAGTAGATTCCCTGAAGGCCCCGAGATGTAGTCAGCATCCTGTGACAGCACACGGGAGAGAGGAGAAGAGCAGCACAGGAGAGGAAACATGGTGAGAGCTTGTGCAAGGTACAGGGCTCTAATGTTATTTTATAATTAAATGAGCAGGCAAACATTTGATAAGGCATCACATGCAATTATAAAAAGGTAAAATAGCAGAAAATAGCCTATTAAGGATGGCCAAATCAAATTTGTTGAATTAATTGTTTCCCAGATTTGCTTATCTTGCATAGGGGGAAAATGAGCGGAGGGGGAAACACAGATTAGAAGATTTTAATAGCTCACCGTGCAAGCGGTGTTGATTAGTTTGCAACTGCTGATAGCAGCTCAAAAATGTGCATGAAAGCTGTGAAATATTCCACAAAACCATGACAATGTCTTTTCCTGGCATCTGTCCACAGGTGCAGAAATTCATATTCACGCAGACTTGCTAGCAATCCCCTCCCTCTGTGAACCCCACATAATCTTTATTCAGCCACGTTGGTTACATCTGTCCACACTGCAGTTGAGGCAATTACCCAGACTCTCGGCTTTAAAA